CAGAGAAACCGCTGTGAGAAAAGCCTCTAGGTTTGTTTTAAACCTGAGTTCCTCCCTCGAAGTGAGAAGGGCCTCTCTGAAAAGTTCATCCCAGTCAGCCATTTGTTCTGAGGTAGGAGCCCTAAGCACGGTCTCCCCCGAGAGCATGATGTGTCTTGATGCAGAAGGATTCCTGGCCAGGGTCACGTGGCACCCTGGCAGCACAAGCCAGGAGCGGGAGCGCTGGGCGTGGCCATCCTACAGACCCACTGTGTGACCTGGGCTGGGGACTCCACATCTCTGGCCCATCACTCCTTGCCTGTGAGCTCAAAGAGACTGGACTAAGTCTCAGCTGGGTTTAAAAGTCGCTCCGCTGGATTTGGATTCAGCAGTCATTCATCTTAATGTGCCCTCGAGGGTCAGAGAGAGGAAGTGACCTTGCCAAAGGTCATGCGCCCCGTCCAGGGTGGAACTGAGACTAGAACCTGGCTCTGCCTGAGCCCACGTCCGGTATTCCAGTATACCTTGGCCCAGTGGACGAGGTCTGCAGGTTTCCCCGTCCTCTGGCTTTGGGTTGGGTTTGGCCAATGGAAACCACCTGCCAGAGCTGGAGCAAGAGAGAACGTGATGACGTGCTTACTCCCTCAGCTCTGTTTGCTGGGGTCACCATGGGTTCACTGCAATGCTTCTGAAGGCCACGCTTCCGGTGAGGTCCTCTCTCTCTCTGCGGGTCCTGGTAGCTTCTCCTCCAAGTATTTAGCCTCGAGGGCTGCACTATTCCTTGTCATCTCCCTCCACCTACATAGCTCACCCCTTTATACAAAAACCACTAGATTCAATTCTCTTCATACCCGCCCCCTTGAGGGTCCCATCTGTTTCCTGCGGGGACCCCGACAGAGCTGATGAAATCTGCAGCCTCTGCCGTCACTTCCTCTCCTCTCTGCAACTTCTTCGCACCAACCCAGGAAACCCCCTCCAGAAGCACAGACACACGGGAACGCTGGGGGCGGGGGGAGGGGTGTCTTGAAATTTCCCCTTGTCCAGAGTCTCTGTCCCAGAGCCACTAGAAAGCAAAGAACTCTTTGTTCTGGATCTCCCGTTCACTTCCTTCCCTTTCATTGCCTTGTCATCCCACCACTGGAAACCCCATTGTCTCTGCTACCACGGAAGAAAGGGCTGACTTAACCAAGGTTTCTCTTTCATTGTTTCATTTGCAGGCAGGGCTCTCCCTCCTCCTCTTCCCCTTTAATCTTCTCTGTCCTCCTGGCCTGGGCCTTTGTCCTCCACTCCAGCCTCCCAGAGCTCTGGGTTCCTTAAGATGCTAATCACACCCGGTTTTCTTCTTGTGCCAAGAATATTTCTATTTATCAAGCGGAGGCACACTTTGCCTTTGGGAGGGACACATACAAGGACAGGAACACTTTCCATTCCTCGGGGCTGTCTCTCTTTCCCCTTTCTTGTTTCAATTCCAGGACTCTTTCTTTGCTCGGTTCCTCTGTACATCTTCCAGGGTTTTTGAATGCACAGGTTGCCCGATCCTGTCTCCTTTTGTAGGGAGTGCAGACCGACTTGGGCTGCAGTGTCCTGGAGAATTACTGATCCGTCCATGAGAAGGATTGTTTGGGCCCGTTGAGGTGGTATCATTAGGTTTTTGAATTCCCTCTGCCATCTCTGGGTTTCCCCAGGAGATGCGGGAGGAGGACCCCAGCGCATGTGGTTTATGCAGGAGCAGGGGCACTGGCAGGAAGCGGGGGTGGGGAGGTAGCCCAGAGAAGGCAGTCCCCAAGAGGGGGTGTTTCAAGCCTGTTCCTGTGATGGACAACAGCAGCCCAGGCCCTGTGGAAATTCTGGAAAAGGCAGAGAACACACCCTCAGTGGGATGGGAAGGAGCTGGGCTATTTCACCAGCCAGAGAGAGACGGCCTTTTCCACGGAGTGTCTTGCCCCAGTTTCCAAGCAGGTCCTCAGGTGAAGAGAAGCAGTCAGGGCAGCCTGAGGGGGAAGAAGCAAGTGAGGCGCCCAGGCACAGTCCTCAGTGAGGCGCTTGCTCTGGGGGTCGCTCCCCCGAGCATGGCATCTCCTTGAACGTTGCATGCTGGGTGCCTCGCTCGCTCACCCTAGTTCTGGCTGAGGATGCCAGACAGTCTGCTGGTGTTCCTCTACACCAGGGGGGGCGGCCATGGGGTGTGGGTGGGACGAGAGCGGACAGTGTCTTCTGCACCCCCAGGGATGGAGTTCAATCCCCTTCATTGTTTCTCCTTGCTACTTGGAATCCCGCCTTCCGAGCTGCAGCTTTTGCAGGGGCCAGGATGGTTCTCTTCCTGCCCCTTCCTGTGTCCCAGCTCTCTGCCCCCACTCAGGCTCAGTCCCTTCTTCTTCCTGCATATCATTGTGCCCTCTGTCATCCCGCCTACCTCCCTCTTTTCTTCCTGAATATTCTCTATTTTACTTGAGAAGCCAGAAGGGAGTGGTCCATGGCTGAAGCTCTCTGGGGTCTCGCACAGAGTCTGCTTTCCAACATTAAGTTTCTTTTTGCTGAGCCCCAGCCATACACCAGGTTTGGGAACACAGAAGTACAGTCATCTGCCTGCTGTCACAGAGCATCTATTCCAGTGAGGAAAACAGGCAGTCAGCAGATAGTCATCCAAATGCCTCTCAAATCTCAATGATGAGGAGGGTTAAAGAGAAGACATGCATTGTCCCCAAGGAGTGAATAATGGGGTTTTGACCAAATTTGAAGGGCCAGAAGAATTCCCTGAGGAGGTGATGACTGAGAAGGATCTGAAGAATAAGTAGAACTTAGTAGTAGAGCAAAGTGAGGTGGGAAGGGCACTTTGATAGAGTACACAGAGTGTGCAAAGGCCCTGTGGCACGAAGGAGCACAGAAAGCTCAAGGGACTGAATGAAGATCAATGTGGGTTCACTGAGGAAACCGGGATGGAGAGGACACATTATGAAACAGGAGTTGGAGAGGTGGCTAAGGGCCTTTGGATAAGGAATGTTTAGAAATGCAGGAAAGCTGTTTGAAGGGTTTTCCATAGGAAACGACATGATCCAATTCCCATTTTGAGGATGTCCCCCTGACTTGTGTCAGAGATAGATAAGTGGAAGTTGGGGGTCTGATTAGATGTGCAGCTGTAGGAAAATGGCTGGACGGAGTCCAGGTGAGAGCTGACAAGGGCTCGGGCAAAGGTGCTGGGGGCCAAGGATGGGCAGGGAAGTCTGGAAGACAGACAGCTTGGTGTATCTTTTCATCCTTAGCCCCCATGGGCTTTTGCATGGATGCCTGGCCCAGGCTGGATATTCTTGTCTCTCAGGGAGGGCAGGGCTCCTCACAGTGCTCTAGTCTTTATCTTTTCTTATCTGCACAACACCGCAGCAGGAAGACCTCCTTGTACCCAATTTACAGAGAGATGACTACGGTTTGACGTCATCACCTAAGGTCTCACAGTCCATAATTTTAGGGCATGGTATGCATGGTGCCCGAGCAGAGGATGGTCAGAGTGAGCTGCTACCTGTGCCCAGCACGGGAGCTCCATGGGAGCAGAGACGGAGGGCCCAGCACAAGGCCTGGGTCAGCAGAGGCCCACACGTTGTGGGTCTTAAAAACACACATCCTGATTGTTAGAGCATCTCTTTTCAATGCCTCACTTGCAAGAAATCTTGCTGCCTGCATGACCATCTTCCAAGAGACAAATTATACATGTTTTCTGATTGGTTCTACCATTCATAGCGCATTCCTAAATCAGCACCGGAAACAGCTAAGCTAAAACTTCTGCCTCTTTCTTCCTTTGCGAGCTGCCTCTATCTTATGCTTTCTTCCTCCACGTTTTTTTCTTAGGCAATGTCTAGACAGTTAAACAAAACAAAACACTGAACTGGGCTAGAAATAATTTGTTATTCAAGGTCTTTTTCCACCCCCCCCTCTGTTGTTGGCTAGATGGGGTAATCCTGAGAGCTGAGACCAGAGATGCAAGGCACACAATCGGTGAGATGTCTAAAGGTCCAGGTTGAATATACCATGGCAGACAAAGGCTGTTGCCAACTCTTGTTTCAATCAGGCTATAGGCTCAACATTTTGCATGAAGTAACTTTGTCCTCTCTGTATTTATGCTGCTTTGAAGGCTGTACATACCAGTATTTGCAGTGATAATACCGTGTGACCTACGCCTCTCTCCCTGTCTCACTGTCTAGCACTGAATATTACGCACAGTCACACACAATGTTGTGTGTTGGCACTGTCCTTATTTAGCCTTCACTGTCCCTTGCTGGGACCACTGCAGTAGCCTACTGTCCCTCCGTCTCCAGGCTCTTCCAATCGAATCCATCCTCCCAATCAGCTACCCTAGTGATCTTTCCAAAATGGACCCCTGACCACGCCCATCCCCCTACCAATCTGGTTGATTTCATGTCACCTGATGGGTATTCCGTGATTTCTGGTTCAAAGAAGGTGGAATTCTTTATCTGCTCTGACCTTCAGGGACCACGAGAAACTAACTCTATGGCTAAAAGTAATGGTTCCAAGCACTGTGCAAAGGTTCACCTACCTTTTTTAAACTACCCTATCTTTATTATTTGTAACATTTCCAAGGGAAGAAACTGAAGCTTCGAGAGGTCAGGTACCTTGCCGAGGGCCCCAGAGCTGGGATAGAAGCCCAGGCAGTCTGACTCCACAGGGCTCTAACCACTCTGCATCACAGCTTTCGTAAAACCACGTATCACGGGTGATTACAGGAATATTAAAGCTCACCGTCAAGCAAAAAGTAATGACCTTGCACGCCTCCCTGACCTCTGCACAAAACATTCTTTCTTCCGGCAGGCTCGGGGTCATCAAGCATCTTGGCCAATGCAGGCCTCTGCCACACAGGGCACGTGCTGTTCAAGGCACTCACCTTACAGCACCTGCACCTCTCACAGTGAGGACTGGCAGAACCCATAATCCCTGCCCCTAGTGTGACCAGAGTAGCCCTGGGCTCCTCTGGGCCCTGAGTTGGCTGCTCCCCAAGCCCTCAGGGCTCTTACAGGATATGATGTTTCCATATCGATTCTTATTGCGGTTTTCATCCTCTTTGGCTGTGTCCCACGAAGCTGTCTGCCCCTCTGGTAAAGCCTAGAAAGGAAGGACAGAGTGGTTAGAATGGCCTGAGATAGGGGCTTTCTCCATGTGTGGATGAGCCGGAAGGGAAATCGGATCCACTGGGATGGTCACTCAGTACAAAGGGCTCCGTGTTCTTCGATGTGGCCTGGGGAGAATGTGAACTTGGCCCCATCATAAACTTATCTACTCGTTCATTGACTCAAATGTCACTGATGCCTTCTGTGTGTCAAGAGCCAGACGTGGCCCAAAAGGGGAGTCATTTGCTCATTAACACAGTCATTTGACAGGTATTTACTGAGTCCCTAATCTGTACTTGGCACTGTTATAGGTACTCGGGATACAGAGAAATAGACAAAGTTCCCTTTGAGCTTCTAGTCAACCGGGCGATGCCACAGATGAGGGAGAAGACATATGTAAATTCAGACTGTGGAAAGTGCTATGAAGAAAAGTAAGCAGGGAGAAGGATGGTGAGAGTTTCTTCAGATTATACAGTCCAGGAGGGCTTCTCTGAGAAGGGAACAGTTAACCTGATTCCTTTTTTTTTTTTTAATCATTTTTTTTCACTTTTCCAAAATTCATTGTTTATGCACCACACCCAGTGCTCCGTGTAATACCAAATTCCTTAATCACGTGAAAAAGTCAGTTGTGCCAAAAGCAGGATGTGCTTTCCAGGCAGAGGGAACAGCAGGTGCTAAAATGGTAACCAAATGCCCGTATACAAGGGTAAGGCAGGGAGAGCGGTGATGGGGCCATCCGCATGGGCTGGGACAGCTCAAACTATAAAAAGTATTGTGGTCACTGGTAATGAGTTGGATATTATTCTAAGTGAGATGGAAAGCCATGGGAGGGTTCTGAGCAGTGCAGTTAGCTGATCTGATTTATATTTTACAAAGTACCTTCTGGCTCAAATATGGGACACAGGTTCTAGGATGCCTGGGGAGGAGGCAGGGAGATCAGTTAGGAAGTTGTTGCCATGGTCCAGGTAAGAGATGAGGCTACCGTGGACCCTTTACTGGGACAGTGGCAGTAGATGTAGTGAGAAGCGGTTATTTTCAGGATGGTCAGTTGAATACTGTAGATTTTAGTTCCCTCAGAAGCAGACTTGGAAACAAAGATTTGAAGAGGAGATCTTCCTTGGGAGGCAATCCTAAGGAGCACAGGTGAGAGAGTGGGGGCAACGATACGATCACGGGAAGGAAGTCAGTACATGGTACCCCAGGAAGCAAGTCACCACAGTGCACATCCAGGCTTTAATCTCACAGGCCCATTGCAGGTTGGGGGTATCTACCCACCAATTCTCATGTACCACAGGTTGAGGAAAACTCTTAGGAAATCCCTTGGCACATCTGCCATGCTCTGTGTGTAAGCTGTGCATATTCTCTGGAAAAGTCCTTGGGCAACAAGCCAGAGGTGCTTCCAGGTAGCGGGCACTGGGTGAGCAGTAGGTGTGGACCATGAAGGAAAGAGGGATGAAGGCTGATTCCTAGACTGTTGGCTTGAAGAAGTGAGTGGAGAGCCGCAGCATTTGCGGAGATGGAGGAAGTACATGGGGAGAGAGAGACCGGGGAGGCAGGGACTACACATCGTGTTCTGGGCACATCAAGTGCTTAGAATGGCGCCTGACACCTGCTGCGGCCGTGTGCTTCCCGCTGTGTTCCACACAGTAAGAGCTGCAGCAGCGGAAGCATGTTTGAGATGATTAGTCGGCGCCCGAGCTGAGATGCTGAGTGGGAGGCTGGACACAGATGTTCCCAGTCAGAGCTGGGGGAAGGGTTGGGAGTCATCAATCCAAGAGGAGACAGACAAGTCAACAGCCATGTGGAATGATTGAGAGAATTAGGAGCCAAGGGTGGTGGCAACACAAGGGAGGGTACAGTCGCTCATCTCGCGGAAAAGGATGCTGGGCGTTTAAGGGAGCAGGAACAGTGGTAGGGAAGCTGCAGCAGCATGAAGGCCGGGCCACAATCTGATTCCTGTTTCCACCCCGCAGCCTGTGGCGTGGGCCGAGTGCCCTGCTCGCGGGCTGGGCACTGCTTCTGAGGCTGGATCTGTGATTCCTTCAGTCTAACACCCCTGTCTGCAATGCGGGGGAGACCAGCATCCTCTCATCCCATCACGCTGGCCTTGCCTTTGTCCATCCATCCCTTACTAGGTTCAGCCTCAACAAGTCCATCAGCCGAATGGTCAGAAGTGCCACCCATCAGTGGGCATGCAGGACCACTGCCTAGGAAAAGCCCAGCTCATTCACAGTACCCCCTTTCTTGCTTCCAGTCACCCGTGTGTTAAGCCAACCTGGGTGGGTCTTCTAGAGAAGACGTTGGCAAACTTGCTGTAACAGGTCAGCAGCCTGGGCTTTGCAGGCCAAGTACTCTGTGGGGCCTCCACTCACGGTCTGTGGTTGCAGAGGGAACGCAGTCACAGACAAAGCTGGGTATGATCTGATGAAACTTAATTTATGAAAACAGGTGTTGGGTGGGATTTAGCCTGTGGCTGCCCTTTGTTGACCTTTCTTCTAGAAGCATGACTGGGATCCTCAGCTCTGCAGTGGCTGGGAAGGTAGAACTGGTGCTCATTCTGCTACCTCGCCATTCTAGATGGAAAGGAGATGGGGTGGGAGGCCCTTGCCTAGGCTGCCTGGCTAAGCTGTGTTCTCCCAAGTTCGCCTTCCCCAGGGTTTCAGACCAGGGTACTAGAGTGTCTTCCCAGCTATTAATTGATCAGAATTTTATTCTCTGTGTGTCACAAACCCTTAAGCATCCCAGAGGAGAAGCAAAGCAGGTGCTAGGCTCTGGGCACCAATCTCTGCCGGAAATATGAGTGTGACAAAAGTGTCACGGAGAGAGAGAAATGCTCACTTTACAGAGGGCCTGTCTCTCCTTTTTCTCCTCGTCCTCTTCCTCCTCCCTTCCTCTTCATTACAAATGACCATCACCCTGCGTCCCCCTTGCCATCGGCGTAGGGCATCTCTAGACCACAAGTGATTCTTGCTTTTGCATGTAACTCTTAGAAATCAAAGATTCTAGCTCTGGGGCCTCACCCTCCTGCCCTAGCCCGGTAGCTCCTGCTGTTTCAGACAACCTGCCAGGCCCATCTATTCCTGGCTCTCTACAGTGGCGGGCCATGAGTGTCTCACCGGCAACACTGGACTTCTCAAGGTTTAAGCGGGTACTCTGGGGTTGGTTTTTCTACTGGAAACTCTGTGTGATAAAGGCCAACTGTTCATTCCATTATATCTAACCAACCAAAGTGGTATGAAGCCATGAACAGAACACTCCAAATATTTTCATAATTATTTTTGAGGGAAAAAAAATCTGTTGAGTACCTACTATGTGCTAGGGCTTAGATTATGGTTCGCTGAAGGTTTTGTTATGGCTGTACATTAGAATCGTCTGGGGAAACTTCAAAACTCCCAAAGTCACAGCCCTATTAAATTTCATCGGACTCCCTGGGGATGGGACACAGGCTGTCCGCAGTGTTTAAACTCCCTGGGAGGTTCTAATGCACAGCCACCCTTCTTGCAAATAATGAATTTACCTGGAGAAACACTTTCCCACGAGTCTCCTCACTGGTTTCTCTTGCTTTGGTCTTGTCCCCTCCAATCCATTCTCCACTGTAATCAGAGAGATCGTTCTAAAATGTGAATAGGAGGGGCGCCTGGGTGGCTCAGTGGATTAAAGCCTTTGCCTTCGGCTCAGGTCATGATCCCAGGGTCCTGGGATCAAGCCCCGCGTCGGGCTCTCTGCTCAGCGGGGAGCCTCCTTCCTCCTCTCTCTCTGCCTGCCACTCTGCCTACTTGTGATCTCTCTCTGTCAAATAAATAAATAAAATCTTAAAAAAAATAAAATAAAATGTGAATAGGACCCAGTTACTCCCCTTGCCATTATCTTCAGGATAAATTCCAAAGTCTTCGATACAAGGTTCCTACATGCCCCTCCAACCTCATTTCTTGCCCTTATGCTAATATTCTAAAGATAGGGAACCAAATGCAAGGCCACAGACCATTTCAGGTGTTCCAGACTTCCGAGACTGACTTTATATATGCTGTTCCCTCTGCCTGAAATTCTCTTCCACCTGAGTCTGCCTGGAAAGCTCCTACATACCCTTTAAAACCCATTTCAAGCATCTTCTATTTCGTGAAATCTCCATTCCTGCTATCCCTCCCAGCACTCCACTTCCTCACCATCTAGTGGGTCACTTCTATGATTAGATGGACTCCTTTACATCTAATAATTTGGAAGTCCTGTCTCCCAACCTAATGATGGGCTACTCCAGGAAAAGAGCAGCTTCTTGTTCGTGTCTCTATCTCTAGAGCCTGACACTGGCCTGTATTTCATATCTACCTGAATCCCCTTTGGAATAAATGAATGGAGTGGACAGATGGTTGAAAACATTAGTGGGTGAGGTGGCTTCTGTGTGTTCTCTTTAATCTCAGAGGTGTCAGTGACCTTGAAAACTATCTGGTTGTGTTCCCTTCCACGGTGACCTACTGGGCAGTGGGAAGGCTGATCAGCTACTTGGACATGCTTGGTGACAGAGAGCTCACTACCTCATAATTCTTCCTGTCTCACTTACGGACAGCTTGGGCAGAATTTTGTTTCCTCTGCCTCCACGTACTTTGCCTTTGCCCTATGCCATGGGGGACCCACAGGATTAACATACACCTCTGTGCTGTGATACTGCAGAGATATGATGATGATCCCTGTCCACCCTCGGAGTCCTTAAGTGGCACAATTTGGGAGTCATCTCAACATCCAGGCCATAACCTTCAGGATGCACCCAGCATGCCGATATCCTTTGAAAAATCTTAAGCTGAGCAAAGCAGTTGTGTTAAGTGGCCCTTCTCTGGGAAACCACATGGGCCCCTGACATAGCCCTGGGAGGCTCTCTGAGTCCCTTGGTGGGGCTGGGGGAAGAGGGGTGAGCCTGGGGGCTACGATGTTGTTGACTGAGGTAGAGGAGGAGAGGCCTAACAGAGCCACCTAGGAGTGAGCAGTAATGACCCCCTAATTGGC